ACGGCATGAAGCGATACACAATCTCGACGTGCAAATGCGTCGCGCCGCAATCCAGCCCCTCGGCCCTTAGCATCTCGACCACGTCGACGAGCGCCCGCTGCCAATCCGGGACATCGGTGCCCCAGCCCTCCACAATGACGCGGAAGATGGGAATGGCTTCGGTGCGCAGCCCGGGGCCCTGGATGACCTGCTCGCCGTACTGCATCTTGTACAGCGGGATGAAGTAGCGGCCCATGATGTGCCGCGTGGCATCGACGATCTCGCGCCAGCGGGGGATCTCGGCGTCGAGCTGGCCCGTCGCGAAGAGGTGGTGGAGGACGTCTTCGAAGTGGTAGGGGCGCAGCGACACTAGCCGCGGCCAGCCCACGCGGTGATCCTCCATTTCGATGTGTCCGGCGACGTCTTCGCGGCTGTCGGGCTCACGGGCGGTCTCTTCGGCCAAGGGGTTCTCCAGCTCGTCGACTTCGCCCATCTCCGTGGGCCCGGCGTTGTCTTCGCGGCTGTCGGTGGTCTCCTCGTGCAGCAGCACCGCGGCCAGGAGTTGTTCCAGCATTTCAGGTGACAGTCTGGCCAGGAGGTCATTCAATTCCAGGTCGCTGTCGTCGAAGATGACTGGCATTTTGGCTGGAGGTCTTTCTGAGTGGACGTGGGAGTGGTGCAATCCGTTTCCTTGTTGCCAGTCAGTGAAATTAAACTATGATGGGATGGTTATGGAGAGCATACCGCGTGAGGAGATGAAAAGGGGAGAGGAGATCCCGGAGTCAGGTCTCGCTTGTGACTTGAGGGTGGAGAGAACGACGGGCAGAGGTAAGTTTTCAAAGGAAGTTGGACGCTGAATGGAGAAATTGGAAGCGGGAGAAGCAGGGCTTTTGTGTAGAATGGGTGGTCTTGTTCGGGCAAAATATATCAACCCGATGGTCAAACCGGTAATCACCACCCTTGGTTCTTTGGCCAAGCAACCTCGGATCAGAAACGGGAAAGAACATTCAACAAATGACCGTAGCGCTTTCATTTTTGGGACCATCGCTTCAAGATGTGTTGCAGTAATGAAATGATTCATTCGAACAGTCAACTTTTGGTTCGTTCGCCGGCTTGACGGACCAACATAGTTCAGGGAACTGTTTTGGAAAAGCTCGACATGAAGAAGAGTCGCACGGCCGTCGCAGTAAATCCGGTCCCAGGGCAAGATCGAACCACGAAGCGCTCTGAGTCCAAGTGGTCGTCGGATGAGGATGCGCGGTGTTGCTTTGTTGGGGAATTCGAGCACGACCAAGGCAATTATCTCCAAGTCTCGTAGACGCGTGTTCACGAATGCTCCGCGTCAGCCTTCCAAGACTTGAGATTGAACCGTGCCGGCTACTTCTGGGAGTTGATGGAACAGACTTTTCTCGGGTAGTTTCGATCTACCTTGACGTCTCGCAAAGCTTTGAATGGAAGGAATAACAACTTACTGTTCATCTTTTCTTGAAGAGTCGAGCAATTCTCACCCTATCTTGCATAAAACGACGACAAAGATTGATTGTTCAACTCTCCTGGTGCATGTCTGAGGTATTGATAGGTTGCGGTTCAGTGACTGTTTCCCCGGTAACATCTTCAATGCTCTTTAAGACCTTTGCGATTGGGGTCATCAGGCCCCATCTAAACAATGGGTGGGCTCCGATAAGTAGGCCAACCCAACTGCCATTGCTCCAATCCTTCACGACTGAGCCGCAATCTCCCCCACTTGCAAAACCTCCGAGCGGCCTGGCTTGCCCTGCGTTGCCGTAGACAGGAGGCACAATCTGGATGCAGCTTAGGACCGGGTCCTCGCGGCCACACCTCTTGTCGACATGCGCGCCCCTGTCCTGGATTGGTTTCCAGAAATATGTGGCGTGGTTGATCAGTCCGGCTGACCAGCCTGTGATTCTCCCGAGCTTGACAACCTCATTGATTTCCTGGATATGTGTAGTGAAAGTTTGCGGCAAAAGAAATGGCACCCAACTTGGCAGCGAAAAAGGACCCTCGACGTTTACATTCCTGTTGCCACCGGCTACAGCATATTTGTAATTAGAGGGAAAGACCCATCGTGTGCGTTCGATGTTGATCAACGCCCAGTCAAGAGCGTAGTTCTTCCTCTTTTCCACATGATGCTGTTGGCCAGAAGTCGCCCGAATCGATCCACCGGGGAAGGATTTGTACCGCAGGACAATTTTTCTCAAGTTTCTTGATGAGTCGATTACATCCTGCGTGTGCTTCATCAAGGAAAGATATCTTTCTTCGTCCTCGATAGACACTGGCTCTCTTCTATACATTTGAAGGGTTTTTTCCATCGTACTGATAGTTCTATCGATCGTGTTCAGCGCAACGGTCGTGTCCAGATCAGCTGGAACCTTGACCGGATACGAAGAGGTCCTTCCAGTGAAACAGTGCGATTTGAGAGGTGTAGATGGGGAGTCAGATGCAAGCACTGTACAAGTGTCAGTCGCGAAGAGGTGAGGCATGTTTCGCTTACCTTTTGCCAGACTGGCGTTATTAATGACATGAAAGTTTGTGAGCAAATGGAGGGTTTTGTCCCCGCCGACGTCCTGCAGCTCAACCATCTCACCAACGGTTCCCACTGAGCCCAAGGAGTCCTCAGGCGCAATCCCATCTCCAACGAAGATCACTGGCTCTTTCAACCACCTATTCGAGAAAAGGTTTCGGTTGAAATCGCATGGAAATATGCTTCTCATGTCGAGCGTCTGCCACACGGAGACATAGCGTACTGGAGCCCGCAGTTCCTGGATCTTTGCCTTGATCGATAGCGTAACTTGAGCTTCCCAACGTGGGTCTTCCGCATCGGATGCTTCTATGAGCATGGTGATTGGCGCATCCGAGCAATAGGAGGACCCGAAGCGAACCAATGTCAGACCCTGCCATAGCAAAGATGACTTTTTCAGGATTCCCATCACTGCAGGAGCCAACGAGTTTTCCCAACCGTCCAGCGCTGGGTGTCCGGCGCCTACAGGCGCAAATTGAGGGAATCCACCTTCGACGATTTCGACGAAAATTGCTCCTTCGCATGTCTTGAGATCTTGCGTCGCCCTAACAAGTTGGACCAGAAAGTAAGTCCAGATTACAGACTCCTTCTTCGCGCCAACAACAAGTCTCAGCGTGGACACTGGTGGTCGGTTTCCTCCAACGATGACCACCTTGCCCACATAGCAGCATGCGTTGACGTGGTCCGTCAACGGTCGCAAGATGGTCTGAATTGCTGAGATATCCGAGATAAGAACCCCATGCGGGATGAATTCCGATGGTTTCGAGAGGAACCTGGGCCATCCTACGCGGCAGTGTTCATCCACAACATTGGCTCGGATCTCGTCGTCGCTGAGAGCCATTGCTCGCGTTGTAGCGTCGATTTGGAGGACTTGAGTTGGGTTCTAGATAGCAATGCGGAACCGTCCGTAGGTTTTTGCTGGCTGGCCTGGTTCTAGTCAGCGTCATTGGACGTGTGCGGAGTTGTGCGTGAAGACCTTTTGAGTGACAAATCAGCGAAAACAGGAAAGACGGGTTCTGTGTATAAGTTGTCAATGGGATGTGAGAATTAGTTCCATCCTGGCTGTGCCAAAACCACGAACCCGACGTGATGGAGGGGTGGTTCTTGGGAGGAACGAGTGGAGGGACACTCCTGCTTCAATGGCACAACGCTGGCATGTTGAGTTGTCGTTCAGTTGCAACTTCCGAACATCGCTCGATAGGCTTGAGTGCTCGAAGCCATTCTTTGGGCTGTCGCTTCATAATGAACATCTTCTTCCATCCGCATCCAGGAGCGTCGTTGCCCTTTCCTGGCCAAGGGCAAAAGAAAGCGACCATGGTAAACAAGTAGTGCCTGTCTGCTCTTTTGCAACGTCACAAAGGCTGTTCGGTGACAGACTGCTAGTCATTCGGATCATGTAAGACCTCCAACTTTTGGTGTTGACTTCAGATGATTGATGAAAACTGAGCATCGATATTGCCATGACTGAGAACAGACGAGTTTCAAAATGACGATGGAGACGTTGTCCACAGGCAGTGAGAATGCTGGCACGAAGGTAGTCTGTACGGGTTGAAACGAAACCCGCCTCCATGAGAGGCGTGGGTTGGGCAGACAGAACGCTCTGGAGAATCGCGACCACGATCACTCCTTGGTTCACAATCACTGAAAACACTTGCGCAGATTGTGACCATGACCGTCGCGCAAAGGTCCTGCGAAGCTCCTTGAAAGCCCGCAGAGGCTCGTCACGTCGTTCCGGGTTGTTGTTTTGGTGAGGTGCAGCGGCCCGTCGGCGGCGCATCGCTGCATGATGTTCACAGCACAGTCGCAGTGTCGAGCCTGAGAGCGATTGAGCAAAGGCGATCGTAAAGGTCAGCCGATGGATCGAGAAACCAAAGCGAGGAGCTGATGCACTGTAACGGAGGAGGTGTGTTGAGGCGGGAAGAAAGGTCGACGCGGCCTGGCGGGTTCGAGGGACGTGCGTGGGTCGGCAAAATCCCCGACCGCCCTGCCGACCGACCAGGTGAAGCCATCGGATCTTCCACATCCACAACTTCACGGTATCCATTTCTGACACTTTATGATGAAAAGAATTTATGTAAACCTAGATCAGACTCTTTGTATCTCAAATCTGGCAAAAGATATCGACTTGTAGTGGCGGAGTGGTGCCGCGCTATAAAGTAGCGGCCAGGGACGCCGCAGGACATGGCTTGCATGGCGGAACCCACAAAGGGCTTCTTTACCTCACTTTCACTTGAAGATTGCTTCTGAGCCTTCACCAACAACTCTACAGAGTATCTTCTTGCCTTGGAAATGACCCGAAAGAATGTCAGCTTTGAAGTGTTCACAAAAAAGGGGCAGAGTCTCTGGAAGAAAGGGAGGGAGTACCTGAGACCCAATCCAAGGATGCTGAGCTGCAAAATACATCCGTGCCATGGTTGACAGAGTGCTATGGGCCACTGTGGGCCAAAATGGAAGCCCGGGCGCCCCCAAAAAAAACAAAAAGTGAGGATGGAGCGATTTGAACGCTCAACCTTCAGGAAATCCCATGTTATGACCACCATAAGAGCTATGAAAGCCATTTTCTCTGGAATCTGACGCGCTACCGTTGCGCCACACCCCCATTTGATATTAGAACAAAATAGTTATATAAAATATATACTTCTAGCAAGTTGTGGCTTCTGGACACTTGAGGCCCAAAAAATGGATAATTATGTTGTTTCTGACAGAAGCAAAAGTGCCACGCCAAATCAAACACAAGGAGCATCTTCAGCGCCAAGAGAAGCACCTGTTAGCAAAAAGGACTGGCCAAAAAGACCATGTTCGGGGTCGGGGGCGGCTTTTCGGGATCCAAAAATACGCATGTGGGGCGGCAACCGAACTTCGAAATGGAGCTCCCAACCACGACCAGAATTCGTCGAGGACAGCCTCAATCACAGCTACAAGCTATCAGTTGAAGCGGGAGCAATAATCATCTGCAATTGTATGCACAAAGTATGCAGTCGAGGAGCCGACCGTCAGAGCCCCTTGTGCCATTCTCCCTTGCCGGGGCTGAGTCAGCGACGTAAACTCCCACAACAGGGACAGCTCCTTGCGCGCAAGCCCAGCTCGATCGTCATCTGTGTCTACCGCTCCCTCTCACGTCACCATCTCTTTGATATTATTGTGCTGTTCGACTGACGTATAAAATCCTCGAGCTCCCCTCACTCCCTACCCCTATTCCCGTTGCGCCTCGCATCGAACTCTTCCAGGAATCGACCGGCAACCCCAACAACCAGCATCCCGAACCTCCGAGTTCAGCGTTCGCTCTTCCGCCCGACAGATCCACCGACCGACGACCCACCGCCGCCAACGCAATACAGCAATCCGAGCCGGCAAAGCGGACGATGAAAGCGATTCTGCGGTGGGTCCTACAACCGGCTCTTCCGTAGCCTTGCCGCGGACGCTGCCAGCGTGTCAGCCGACGATGTGGTCACGAACAAAAGAGCCTTGCGTTGCTTGTGGAGCGCAAACGGAGCAAAAAAACAGCAAAAAAAGAAGACTTGAATGAGGATGAGGCGATTTGAACGCCTAACCTTCAGGATATTCCATAATTACTGGAATCTGACGCTGGAAAATTCGTTAGTTATTTGTTGGGGAAGGTGATGTTGAGTTGCCAGAACTTACCGCTACCATTGCGCCACACCCCCAAGTTTGTTGCAGGGATGTTGGATATTGAGGCTCATGACTGCCTACAATATTGGTGCCAGGGGGCAAGGGGGCTCTATGACGACAGAGAGCACCCTACTGGTTTCAATGCTTTGCATAAGGTAGGTCGAGCCCTCAGGTCGCTGCTGGCACCATTGGTGAGGTGCAGGGACCTCGCAGCGTGACTTCCCGAACCGATCATGATTTAGTGAAAAATGACCAGTTGCCATTGAGTCGACTATGGACCACCTAGACTGTCGCTACACTCCATGGCTCCTTCAAAAGTCCGCACTGCATCGGTGGAGGCGCTTGTAGTAGTTGCGCGCGCACGAGAGATTGACTACCAGATCCGGTCGAAATTACCAGATCCGCTTCCAGCCCAACACTTCAAAATATTGTCACCGAAGACGCGTTTCTACGCGCACTTGCACTTGCAATGACTTTTCCAAAGCGTCGTCAAAGCAAATGCTCCGTTGTGTGGCCATGGGTAGAATTTTTGGGGCGGCTTCCGCTGTTAAGGTGGACAGTCCATTGACCACCACACGAGCTCAAGGCAATCAAAGCACGATTTCTCTGCTGACTGGCTCCCATCCGCATTACTAACGAAGACATACTTTCTTGCTCAAGTCAAGTGTTCAAGTCAGTCAAAAATGCAAGCTGCATTCATCCACCTCTACTCGTCACAGTTCTGGCATGTCGACTGTGCGTGCATCCGCGCGAAGCCGACAAAATCCAAAGACGACAGAAAGGAAAAGAACATGCATCATTTGTTTCTTAGAAGCCCAAACGCTCTACTTCCCACCTGCGGAGAAGTAGCAGCGGTTGGTAACCGGCCCTCATCCCACCCAAAGAAAGCAACGGGGTATCAAGCCCGCCCAGGCCTCAGCCAACAAGAATTGGCATGTCCGGTGGTGTTCCACTACGAAAGCAGCCTCGCTTGACTGAGGCACTCAAATGTCCAAAAGTTACCCCCGACCCCCGCAGACCCCCCACGAGTCCAACACGAGAAACATTCAAGACCAACAATACACTTGCAGCATCATAACTCCGCTTGTATCATACACCTGCCTGCCGGCGTCGAAATCATACAACCAAGAGCACCCAAAATCTCAACCGAGCTCTTCTCCCTAGCTTCTGCCGCACTTCCGCCTCATGATAGCTCAATAGTAATATCGCCGCCGCGGCCGCGACGCCGAGTACGTGCGTCGGTGGTATCGTTGGTAGCCGGTGTTGCCGTACGTCGTGGGGTAGTTTGTGCTGCGGTAGACAACGCGTCGACGCGGCGTGGTCGCGATGATGAGCCAGGCATCTGCACATGTCTTGCGTCAGTCTGCGATCCTCCAGATCCGGTGTGCCGGTTGAGCGAGTTGCGCGCGAGGCACGAGATGAATCCGCGCAGTCGCGCAGTCAGTCGCCATCGTGTTTGAGCGGCAAAGTCACGAGTGTGTGGAAAGGATATGTGTAGTTGGAGCTTTGAAAGCTCTTCTGGAATTCGACTTACGCAGTATTCCAGGTATCCAGCCTAGCAGTGTCAAGAGGATGTTAAGGCAGAAATTCAGGCCGCAGCCACGCTTAATGAGAACCACGAGCGGTGGGAGAAAGATGGCTATAAGGACGAGGAGGCAGTCTTCCTGAAAAGCGCGTCAGCATTCCATCCGGCATTTGGGTCAAAAAGATCATTTCTCTGGTGCTGCTTCTGCCGGCCATCCCGGACATGGCGGAAGGCAGGAATCGACAAAAAGAGATAATAAAATGGGACAACGAGAAGAGAACACGAAATTGCCGACGCATGAGAGGAATGGAGAACGTACTGCCGTCGACATTGCGACTGGACTGTGAGTGTCGCAGAATAGTAGGGTATGCTTCTATGCGAAAGGCGGAGGATGGCAGGTTCGATTACGTTTTGGGGATTATGCGCAAGGATAGTCGTGGGACTGGTGCAGTTTACCGAAAAGATGCAAGATGCTGTTTAGTCGACGAGCGGTAGGAGACCAGGTCGAGGAATGAGGTGGTGTGTGAGAAAGTAGAAGGATGTTGGTGAGGCAGTTCGGGTATGAAGTTGGGTAGACGCCGCCTATGACATGCGCGACCAAAGCTAGCCACAGCACAGCCTGACCAAGCAGTGGAGCAAACAAGCAAGCTGCCAAAAAGAAGCGGAGTGAAGAACGAACTACCAAGTACATTAGAAATATATCCGCTTTGAAACACGTCCCTAACCCCCGCCGTCAGCCAGCCGCACCCGCACCCGCACCCAGCATCTACCTACCATGGCGGCAGTGCAATTCTTCATGGTCCACATGCAGCTTATTCTGACCTTACCTCACTTTTGCAATGGGAAGATACTCAACCAGACATGAAGCAATACAGCCTTTCAGCATGGCGGGATACGCCTTCCTTGCACGGCCTCGCTCTCGTGGCAGTTGTGACCCGACCATACGTCTCTTGACCTCCACCATGGATACCGTCTTGGGCGAATCCCAGTTTCCCCACAAACAACTACAGCTCTAATATCCGAGCAACAGCTGGCGGACGCGTCTCCGCTGCCACTAGCAGACGTCATGGGAGCGCGCGGGAGACGTGCAGTAGAAAAAGGGCAGAATGGGCACTCGAGTGTAGACGGGGAGGTCGTGGGTTTCGGCTCGGTTTAGATACCCGGGCTTGCTTGACCTGACCTGCCCGTCCCGCCGTGTTACGCGCATGAAAGGTTGTACCTTGCTGGGTTGGCTTCGTTTTTTGTTCCCCGCGTTGGTCGACTCTGCCTTGGCTTCTGCCTGACTGTCATGCTGCTCTCGTTGCGCAAAGATCTCGAGACTGTTTGACTGCATGGCAACAAACTGGAATTCGGTCAGCAACTTTCATGGTTGGCAGAGTACAATGCACATTTGCCCTTCCCGAACAAACCCAAAAGACATCTGCAAGCTTTCCGAGACGAAGCGCCCATGTAGCCCGGCACTAACCGACGCGCGTTCTTTGCTTGGCGAAGCAAGCTGACCGAATGGGGAGCGTTGCGTTGGTGAGGGTTCCCTGGAGCAAAAGTTGAGTCGTCTTGGTCGGACGGAGACTCGGTGACCATCTCTGATGGGTTGCAGTATGACGTCAATGTTCGACCATGCTCAAGCAAAATTCCAGTGCAAACAGCCACAGAATCATCATGCAATGCTGGATGCTGACAGCGACCGTCACGCGCGAGTAGATGTTTTGCCACTGCAGGCGTTGGCATCAGACTCAGCCTTGTCGGATGCAACCCGAGGACGTTCTTCACAGCCTCGCTGTACTCAATCGTCGACCATTTGCAGCTGCCAAGTTGGAGTAGCACAGCACTATCTGCACACATTGGACCAGTCGGTTTAACTCACTTGCCGTCTATTTTGCAAAACTGTACAGCTCATGTGAAGAGCAAAAAACCACCAGCTCCGTTGATGGAATGCCAGATTTAATGAAACCCCCTGTGCCCTGTGATGTGCGCCTTTTGACCAGTAGCAAAGAAAACCCGCTTGCTTAGCTTCAGCATTCCGTCAAAAAGCAAATTTGAAAACTGACACCACCTCAAGCAAAGAATCCAGCACTTATTTTGACCCCGTCTCAACGTCTCCTAGTACACTCACGACCCAGCATTACCACCTCCCCTCGCCCTCTTGGGCCCGCCGGCATCGCCATCCATGCCTGCATCGTCTCGCGGTCGCTTGTTGGGGACGAACTGCTTCGCGCTGGCATTCATTCCCCCCCTGCCAGCACCAGGGCCACCCTCACCACCTTGGCCCTGTCCCTGGTTGCCTCCACCTCGGCCTCTACCGTGACCACCCCTTCCTCCTCGTTGACCTCCCGGGCCTTGCTGGCCACCAGCTTGTTGGTTTTGCGGGTTGCCAGCTTGGCCGCCACCTCGACCACCTGGCCTGGGAATGCCGCCACCACGCGGAATTCCGGTGCCACCTGAGCCGATAATGTTGCGCAAGACTTGCGGACCTGTGCCAGCACCTGGAGGTTGTCCTTGCGGTGGTCGGTTTGGAATGGTTGCTTGTTGATGATTCTGGAACGGCTGAGGAGGCAGACCTTGGCCCATTTGCTGACCCATCTGACCCATTTGACCCATCTGGCCCATTTGTTGCTGTCCAAATGGAGAGTTTGGCCGGAACTGATTAGTCATAGGCCCGGCCATAGCACTGCCAGGGCGCGGTATACCGGTTCCGTACGGGTTTCCAGGCACAGGTTGGCCCTGCTGGTTTTGGAACTGGTTCATCGCTGCCTGTGGACGCTGCTGACCTTGACCCTGTTGGACACCTCCAGGCTGACCAAACGAGCCCCGTGGCACTTGAGCCTGGCCTTGCGGCTGTCCTTGCGGTTGAGGCGGTTGAGCCTGTTGTTGCTCCTGCGGCGGTGCCTGTTGTTGTTGAGCTTGTGGCTGCTGAGGGGCAGCTTGAGGCGAGGCAGCGGGCGGTTGAGCTGGAGCGGATACTTGCGCAGGCGGTTGTTGTGGCTGCACAGGAGCTGGTTTGGCATCCTTTGCAACCTCCCAGACCTCAACCACTGGTTTCTGGGGCGTTTCCTCTACCGCCTTCTTGACAATGTCAATCTTGCAAGTAGCGGAGCGTTCCTTGTTTTGTGCCATGTTGACCTTGAGAGCTTGACGCTTTTCCATCATCGCAACAGCAGACTCCTTGGCCTGTTCGCTCTTCTTTTTCAACTCTTCCAGGTCCTTTTCATGGGATTCGATGAGCTCCTTAGTCTTCGTCTCGACCTCGGCTGCGAGTTTCTTCTTAAGATTGTTTTGCAGAATACTCTTGACCGTGGAATTGGTTGCAATGAAAGCGCGAATCTCGCTGTCGTTCAAGTCTTCGAGGCGAACCTTAGAGGGAGGAACTGTTTGAGCACCCTCGACCTTGACCGGAGTTGAGCTGCCATCCTCATTTGCAGGCGCAGGCACAGCGTCCAAAACAGTGGCCGCCTGCCCACTCTTGACACGCTCCAGCTCTTGTTGATGCTCGGTCTTGATTCGTTGGATTTC